AACAATTGTGTTTCCAACATTTTGCATGAAGAGAGGAATTATCTTGAAGTGCTATTATTAACAAATCTTTTTTATAGGTGTCCAAATAATGCAAACTTGCACAGTGACACAAGTCTATAAATCACCAAACTTTTATCCCTCACGAGATGACTTCCAAAGCTCCTCAGGTTCACAGCAGATGCTGATGCTTTGTTTCCCTGTGCTTTGCACCTGGTGTTTCTCAGGGACTGTGAAGCAACCCTGTGTTTGATGGGAGCAGTCAGAGGGGGATGGGGTTGAGCATCAGGAGAAAGCGTAACTGAGAGACTGATAGAGACATCCTGACAGCTAGAATGGGTCATCAATAGATCCATCATGCCAGTAATTTGCAACAAATTTAACATACATCACTTTAGTCAGGCCATGCTGTATCTGTCTTGTCACAGCATCAGAGTGAATAACACTTAAATCGGGTGTCACCGTTGACCTCTCTGACCCTTGAATTGACACTGCTGTTTGAGCTTGGCCTAGCTGGCAGTAGATGTAGAGAAGATTAGTACAAAAAGTGGGGGTGTACTGAAGGAGGACAGAGCATAACAATACAGCTTAACCAGGCAAACAAATGGTATCTCTGGATTTTCTCCCAGTCTTGCTTTGCTTGATGAAGTGTTGGCATTTGTTTGGACCTATTTCCAGCATTCTTTAGTCAAATTAACTGCGTATATTTTTCATTCTGATTGATTCTGTATGTATGCACGAATATACATGTGCAATAAAATTTGTAGACTTCAAGGTGACCACCATGAAAACTAAAGTCCTACAGAAGATGTAGAACACAAACTGTAGTAAAACTAAATCATTGTCTTCTATGTTCGAAATATGACACCCAGCCTGAGACATGAATGGATGCTTTGACTGCGTTGCCACTTTCAGCATGTCAGTGCAGACCTAGCCCTGTAGGAAATGACCAAGCTTCACAAAACAGTGTGTCTCAGAAAGAGAGCAGGAGAGACCAAGACCCCCATCAAACCCCAAAATCCTGTGCTGAGTCGGGACATGTTAAAAAACCTCCTAGATTATCCTATGGAGAATGAAGGGCCTTCCAGCAAGCACAGCCAGTCTGGAGTATGGGGGAATATTCTTCTGACATCAAATCTGAAGACTGAATTAGCTCAGAACCTGTGAGCAAGGCTCACCAACCAGCTAAACGACATATTTTCATTCATCCAAGAGAAACTGTTTCCCCCATTTTCAATCTTAATGAATACCTTCCATAGACTTCTATAGTTGTTTCTACAGACTTGCATGGAAATGACTACAAACCTGTTAATTCTCCCTGGTGCTAGAAACTAGACACCCTCCAGAGCCAGACAGAGCCTACTGAGTCTGCCAGCATTTATTTTTGAATCAGCACATGATAGAATTACACGATTTGTTTGCTCACCCGAAAGGCACTTTAGAGCCATTCATGGTATGTGTGCGACTGGATGCTGGGTGGGCTTTTCCACTTCAGTCATTCATCCTTCTAAACAAATATGTGGCTATGGGCTGAAATTGGATTTTTTTTCTTCAGGCATTGTTCTTAAATGTGTGACTTTTAATTAATGGACTTTGAATGGCAATAAAGGGAGAAGCTGTCTGAGCAGGTAATTGGAAGTTACAAAATTAAAATGTATATGACTTGTATAACAGCTTGTTCTTTTTTTCTGACAATCTGCTTGATGTTTGATATCTTGGTTAAACTGATTTATCACATCACTAAATATCCCTCAACTGGAAGAATAAGAAGCTCTTTGATTATTCTGTGTGTCCTATAATGTTCACATTTAATGAATACTTGAAGGTGGAAACATATCAAAAGTGACAGAAATAACAAGAAAATTATAAAAGGTTAGAGAAATTAATGTTTTATGCAAAGAAAGACAATTTATTTCTTTTGCATTATTGCTGCTTTTAGGAAAGACTGGTAGTAAAGTGAAATGTATTTGTTAGTTAGTTGTCCAGAATGTTAATCAGATTCTACTTTATTGCTTTCTGAGTATGAAGGTGACACCCCAGATACCCACTGACACCACCATGAACATTTCTCCTGTCTTTCTCAGGAGAAGGACTATCTTCAAAGGGTCTGAGTTAGGCCTTAGTCTTATTTACAGCAAGGGCTAGTCAGGGCAGATTATAATATGTGTAGTATCTTTAGAATGAATTGTATCAAAATTATTCATGTTTGTAATTTTTTTTTTTTATAATTAGCAACTGAATCAGCATACACTGTGTTTGAATTTCTGTGTTGCTTGGGCAGTGAGAAGCAAAAAAGTGGAGACAAATCAGTACCTGGCAAGCCATGTTTCACTCAGGATTTCTGGGATTTGAGAGCTGAATGGATCTGAAATTACATCAGGATGGTGAAGACCTCTGTCCCATTGTCCACTTGTCCTATGCTGCACTGCGAAGATAGGTATCAGAGGAGCTGGGGGTCATACAAAGGTGGGCATGGGACACATGTGAGTTCACAAACAGCTCATAACCATGTATGAACTGGGGTTAGCCATGATGGGGAGTCCCGGTTCTTGGGATAATGTAGCCCTTTACATTTTGCATAGGTATGTTCTCCCCTTCTTTCTACTTGATCTTTAAAAAAAATTTTTTATAGTGCATTTTACTTAAACCTGTTTCTTCCCTCATTAATTTTGATGTGAAAGGAGGAAGGAAAAGAATGTGTCTGACAAAGGACCTTTCATGTATACGTGCAGTGGGTTTGGGGTTTGCTGGTGGACCCAGTAAGGAGTCATAGTATGCATCTGAAGGCAAGTTTGAGACTTTCTCTGGATTCTTCCGATAGGCAGCCCTTGGGAGTATGTAACAGCTGTTCAGGATAGGAGGTAAGAGACAGCCAGAAAGGATGCTAAGTGCATGGTCCCCTTGGTGCAATCAACTGCAGTAACTGGCCTAACTTACCTGTGTAAGCTTGGTGGCTCTTTGTTGAATACTTTCTGGCCATCATTGTGTTTCTATTACTGGGGGAAGGTATTCATTAAGTTAGCTGTGAATACTCCTACTTTTGGAATATATGAGCACATAGATTTCTTTTTCCTCGAAGGAATGTCAATCTTAGGTCTAAACATTTAAAATTCCAGTAGAGGAACAGAGCCAGAGTAGCTCATGAAAATTGGGATTTGTTTGTTTTATGGCCCCATTTTTCCCCTTTGGTCCAGCCTCCTTCACTGGATAAAATTTCCTGTAACAGATTATGAGTTTGCCTCAAATATGAACCACTTCACCACCAGGCTTTCTGCTATTGTGGACAGGGGCATGCAATTAGCCAGGGTGACACCTCCAAATAAAAGTGATGGTATGAAGCATTTACATTCTAATTCCTGTAATATATCATATGGCACTACCTCAAGGAAGCTATTCAATTTTGGGAGAGGATGTGCATGGCAATGTTTTTTTTTCAAATGTGTTATTAAGTAGAAAGTTGGTAAATAAATGATCCAATTCTTGTGGTAGCTCTACTCTTCTGGCCTAATGTGGGTAGAGGAGAGTGCTAAGGTATTAGTAGAATCATACCTTCCACTAGACCAGGTTGCTCAAAGCCCTATACAGTCTGAACACTTCCAGGGATGGGACACCTCCAGCTACTCTGGGCAACCTCTTCCAGTGCCTCAACACCCTCACAGTAAAGAATTTTTTCCTTGTATTAATCCAAACTTACCCTCTTTTAGTCTGAAGCCATTCTCCCTTGTTGTATCACTACATGCTCTTTTAAAACTCCCTCTGCAGCTTTCATGTAGGCCCCTGTTAGGTACTGGAAAGCTGCTATAAGGTGTCCCCAGAGACTTCTCTCCTCCAGGCTGAACAACCCCAACTCTCTCAGCCTGTCTTTGTAGGAAAGGTGCTCCAGCCCTGTGATCATTTTTGCAGCACTCCTCTGGAGCCACTCCAACAGGTCTGCCACCATGTTTGTTCTGGTAGGTGTTAATACCCACATTCTTTACTGTCTTCACAGGAAATTAAGCTGAAAAGTTACAAAGAGGAATGATAGAGAAACTGCGTGGAGAGCCATGCGACTGTGGCTGCACCTAATTCCACTCTTTAAATAGATTACAGATAAGTTTTTGGCTCTGAATTCACTCCCATGAGGTAATTGAATTCTTTATTTTCACACTTTACAAATAAAAGTCTGGGACTCTATCCCAGTCTCTTCCTCTCCCTTCTCCTATACCAAAACAGAGCCTTTGTAGGCACAGCCCTCTTCTGCTTAGAAACCTGATATGTTTAGAAGCAGTACTTGACAGAAAAGGGAGCCAACTTCACTTTCTCAAATGCAGTTTGTGGTAATGCTCTTGGTAACGCTGTGTGCATACCTGTAAAGGAGACAGTTCATGTGGGGAAGCACTTTCCCTCTGAAGCCTGGCACCTCAGCATCTCTCCTCTCCTCCAGGCAAAAAAAAGAGGGAGCTTGTGGTTGGTCCTGGCCTCCTTGCAACAGCCCTTCAGAGTCTTGTTGCTGCTGGCAGGAGAGGCCCTCATGCCATCCATGCATGTCTCTACCAGCCTGAGAGGCTGTGAAGAATGGCTGGAGGGAGCACAGCAGTGCAGGTCTTCCGTGGGACTGAGCAGGACTATTGCTATACTGATGGGGGAATTATGGTCCAGCCAAGGAAGGGAGACAGCGTGCACTCATTCTTTATCCTGCTCCTGGGGGAGTGCTAATCCTACTCCTTGTGAGGGCTGCCAGCAGGCATGATGTGGGCACTGAGGTGCTGACACCAGTGATATTCCCACTCACAGCCACCAAAGGCATTGGCACATCCTACTCAACACTCGGGATGGAAGGATCACCATACAATCTCATGCATTTCTTAAATCCTCATGCTAAAGGTCTCAAACTAGGCTGTTCCCACTGACTTGACCTTCTTAAATAAATATATCCCTTCTCTTGCTTTCTTATCAATTGTTCAGTGACTCACCTGGTGTTTTTCAATTTTTTTATTTCAAAATTTTTGCAATGTATTGTTTAAAATCAGAGGCATGGAAAGAACTCCTAAGTGTGTCACAGTGGTTTGTTCTCTGCAGCCCTTCTTTGCTCTTTTCTGCCATGGGAACAAATAAGATGATGATAAAATTATCATTTGGTCCAGCTTTATATGCCTGTTTAATTTTAAAATTAAAAGATTCATAAATAACTTTCTCTTGTCAGAATCATATTTTATGCTTCAGTTTTCAAGAGTTTTAGATTTGAATTGAACCTTGCTGTTTAGTCTCTGATTTATACTGAAGTGATTAAACCTCTGATTTATACTGAATACTTCCATATTAAAAAATAATAAAGGTGTGCTAAAACCTTTTCCCAATAATCAGTTTTATTAGGTACATCAGGTGTTACTGTAGCATAGATATACAGTAGTTTAGGTACATTGCAAACAGCATCTTATAGTATCAGACAAAGAGAACCTTTTACAAACCTCATGTCTCTAATTTCATTTTAGAAAATTAGATACTCAGAATTTTGCATAAGATAACTGTATTACTGGGATGCAATTTGGCCCAGGTTTCTAGCTTTAGTGCATGTGGCTCCCTAATAAAAAGTGTCAGTTAAAATGAAAATACAGCTTGGGTAATTAAATTTAATTGGATCTTGTCACTTTAAATCCTCTTCGTTTTTGAGTGTTTCTACAGAATTGCAGCTTCTGGTTTGCTAATTTCTTTATTGCAAGCTGTGCTCTGAACCTGACTGTCCTATAATAAAGTGGGACCTTGTTTTTGTAGAGGGCTTTGAACCATGACTGTAATAACAAACAAAAGAAGGGTGGGAGCTAATTTATTGCCAAAAGAAAACCTCTCCTTTATTTCCTACATGTTCAGTTAGTGAAAAATAATGGGTCTGAATTTATTAACCCTTTAATTTTCCTGTCAGTTGAGCACCATTTTGCATAAGTTCTCATGAATACTATGGTATGATGCTATGCCTGTGACAGGCAGCAGCAGCAATTATCATACTTTTTTATACTGGAGTTTTTTTGGGCAAGCAGTAGGGATTAGGTGAATTGCAGTATTCATATGTAGGTCAAGCAGGGTACAGGCAGCCACAATGCAAATGATGTGTACTGCCTGCCAATAGCCACCGTGCTGATTCGCAGGGATCACCTTCTCCAGGGTGAGAGGTAATTCTGTTTCTTTATTACACATTGCACATGCACAGCATCCAAAGGCAAGGAAGATTTAAGTGCAGGTGATGAAGAGATAAAATATTTGCCATACCAAGAGACACATCATAAAAATGATCAGTCTGTCAAATTGTACAACTGCTAATGCCCATATTTCAAATTAAAGACAGTTGAATGAATTCGTACACTCGGATTTTATGCGTGAAATGCAGTATCATCGCATCCTTGATTAGAAGACAGGTCACTTAACACCGATATCTCAGAACGGCTAAAGATGTAGGACTGTCCTTCACAGCACAGTAGTGGTCCCCTGATTTTCTGCTAAAGCAGATGGATATGATATAATTACATTTTGCAAAGTGCTGGCAATACAAGTACCTCAAACAGGATCGCTATGCCAGTGCAGTCACACCGTTTATAACCTCTTCTGTTCCAAAGGTGTGCCTCACATTTTACTGATAGGTCTGGGAGAAAATCTCTGCAACCAGATACAGAAGGCTCTGTTTAGTTGCCTGCACATGGGTGTTGATCAAGTTTCGAGCTGGCTTCCTGCCAAGTCTCCAAAACTTAGCAAAAGCCTTTTCCCTCCCCTCCCCTTTTGGGTAAAGGAAAGAAAAACTGTAGAAACTGAAAGAAACCAAAACCAAGCAAATTATACAAAAAAAAAATATATTTTACATGTATCACAGTTATATACAGTGAGAATACTTTGTACAACCCCTCCCCAAGAAAAAGGAAACGGAAAAGGGGAAAAGGGACAAAACCGGACAAAACCAAACCAGATATGCACAATCAAAACCTAGGAACTAACAAAATAAAGAACTAGCAAAATGAAATCTCACCACTTCCCTCAAGGAAAGCAGGGTCACCAGACACAGTCAAATCTCTCCACCTCCCACATGGCAGGCAACAGCAGTCGCTGCAGGCCTCAGCTTCCAGATAAGTGAGACCAATGCGGTGACTTACTGTTCCTGAACCTCACTGGAAGAGAAGAGAGCGAAGGCTTCTCTTCCTTTCTCATTTATACCTCTGGTTACGTAAAGGATAGCATGGAATACTGGGAGCATAGGGTACTTCCCTGGTTACAAGCTGGTCTCCAGGAAGGCCTAGACCGAAACTATCACAGGTGTCTAGGCCTAGTTGAGGTGCCTGAGGTTATATGAGGTATCTGCACAGAGCTGAAAGATACTGGACCCTTTAAAGTAAGATGCAGAGTGCAGATGAAGATGTATCTTCATGCATTGGTATCAATATGGGAAATACATTCCTAAGTGCGTATTTTAACTAATGAAGCTCTATCCTTTGGTTCAGATGCCCCCAAACAAGTGGCAACTGGGATGTCCTAGCTTACCTCACCTGACCTCTACCTGCTGGTCCAGAAGAGCATAACCATTACAGGTTCCTGTTTTATATCTATTGCATCTATCTTGGTAGCCCAGGACAGATCATCCAGCACTAATTATCTACCTGTGTTTAGGAAACTAAATCTAGGCCTAGAGATCCCTTTGTTCCATAAAAGATGGGCACCTAAATTTAAGGGTCTGTAGCCTGAAGCTGTACAACTGCTATTTTGCAGACCAGCTCATCATTGGAACATGTGGAGCATGAACACACGCCTCTTCCCATGCTCGGTCTCTCTCTCTGTTGTGCGTTGACCACCTTGTTCCCCTGAGCAGCACCTCGCTGGGGCTGATGTTCCATCATTTCCTTCTCATTCATCTGCTGCTTTTCCCAAAGCAAGTGCATCATGACTTCCCAAGGAGGTAACACTCTCCTAACCTGCATGCATGGCTGAATTAGGAGAGCTGAAGGAGGCACCTGGAGGCAGGAACAACCCATCCTTTCTGAAATAGGTGGCACTCACCATCTTTGGAAGATCTGCTTTTTCCATTCATTATAGCTGAAACCTGGATGACTAGTTGGTAGTATTCACCTAAATTGTAGATTCCTAAATTAATGGATCTAAGATGAGATGAATCTCATATTGTCTGTGTTTCTATATCTTATTGACGGAGTCACAGAATTTCTATCTGCTTAAAATAGTACAATCAGATCAAGGCAGCAATAATACACCCCAGTAATTAATTACAGGGATCAGATTCACTATAAGAAAATGTCCTGGCTTGCTGTTGCTGAAAATAGTGACCAAACATCCAATCACTTTAAAAGAAGTCAGAATAAATTAATTTCACAGTGTTTTCTGGATTTGTACTGTGTTTTATAATTTTATTAGGGGAACACGTAAGTAAAGACAGTCTTATTTTCATACTTGCCTTTTTGTCATTGCTTGTTTTAAAGCCTCTGGAAAGCAATAGACTATAAAGATCTATTTAAAGAGATTACATGCTTTATTTATACATGGAACAGATGAATGGATGGATAAAATAATATATGATTTCTTACAGCTACCACTTAATCAGCATGACTCATCAGACTGTAGTAAGTCTGCTAGTAAGTCTGTCTAATTCTTTTTTTCTGTCACATTTGGGCCTTGGGATCCAGACTGAGATTGCATTTCATTTTGCAGATGAACTATCTTATCTTAATTTATGAGAATGATAGATGGAAACAATGGTTCTCATGTTTAGTGTATTACATCAGACACATAGGATGGATTATACAAATACGTCTTGTAGTATTGTGTAATTTTCACTTTCTTTTTCCCTTTTTTCCCTGATTTTCGAAGCATTGAATCTCATTCACAATGGAATAGCATTTTAAAAATATTCGAATTTATGATGTCAATGTTGGTAAGGTATTGATTTGTCCAAATTTACTTTTCCTTCTGCCAAAAATAGACAGACACCTGAATTCCAGTTAACTCTCATGAGGTTCTAAGCTCCAAGTTTATTTGACACTGCTTGGAAAACGCTATCCTGTAATTTTAAGTACTTTAATGGAAGACATTTCAGCTAGGTCCACTTTCTTTTCTGTTGCAAGAAATTTTATCAGACTTCCCTGACACTTGGCTGGGACCTGATCTACCTTGTTTATGGTTTAATATGTAGTCTTCATTAAAACCAGTATTAGCAAATTGGCTTCTAAAAAAAGGGCAAAAATACTGTACCCTGTAACCAGGAGCATGGCTACAGAGATTAAACTGCATTAGCAACTACAGTACTAGAATTAATGCTGTCTGATTAATTTGCCCCTTTTAGTGAGCAATGTCTATTTTTCTGTAGTGCTAAATGGTTCTTTAAGGATATATGATTACAAATTTACAGACTGTTTTTTGAGGCCTTATCTCTACCTCTTTGATCTTTAAGGGTTTACAGCAATCTGCTACTAAATTTTTGCAACATAGCGAGAGTAATTATTTTAAATTTATGGATGATTTCCTATTCGATCACTTTTGTCCTAGATTAGAAACCACCTGAATGACAGTCTAAAAATCATGATAACAAATCTTACGTGACCTCTTCATCATCATAATTTAATACAGACTCTTAAATGAACATTTCTAGTAGCTGATTGTTCAGCACTTGCACATTATCATGAAACATTCAATTTCAGGAAAAAACTCTGTTGGGAATAGGGGGAGCTCAATGCATATATGCAAGAGATTATACAATGCACTGTCTGAGATCTCAGGGGACACTCAATAACTCAGGTGTTTCCTTCTGGCCTTATGTTTTCATTCGGGCAAGTATCCTCTTTTGGGTCCAGTAATGCTGGATGTTGCTGTTTGTATAGCTCTTGCAACTGCTTTTCTGTAGAACAGCTCCTGGCTTCTGCCAAGGAGGAATTCGTGTGAACATTCACATTTTGCTGCACATTGTGTTTGCTTGAACAGACAGTTGTACCATTTAAGCTAGTCACAATCACCTTGCCTACAGTGAATGAGGGAGAGCAAGCAGTTTGCTGGCAGCACTAACCATCTTGAGGATGGACCAAAATGAGTGGCCACCAGCACACTTCACTCCGGAGTTGTATTTTTTAAACTTTTGAATTAAAATAATTGATTCTCATTCATGTAATTAGTGCTGATGACTTTTGTGGGACTATTACCACCTGTGAGAGTACCACTTAATTGATACTATAGTTTTCTTTCCAGATGTTTCACAACTTTGAAAGTCACTAGATCAGTTACTAGTTACCTCCTGATCTCCCTGATAGTTCTCAGGCAGAGGAAGGAAGTGTATCCTTGCAGGTTCCCACTGCTCTATTGCAGTACAAACTAGATTTGCTGCACTGCTCCCACTGACTCACCTGTTTTCACAGCTTGAACATCAGCATAGCTAGCAGCCTTGATGCCAGCACAACCCTGCTTCTGGCCATATAATATCATCTAGACTGAGAATTGCACTTGAATGAATAGCTCATGATCTGCATGTTGCTCAAGTGTTTTGTGAGCCAACAAGAAAGCAAACTGTAGACCTGCTTTGCTCAGGTCACCTAAAGGCAAAAGTCACTATGTCCCACCAGCAATTCCCTGAGTCAGGTTGTCTGTTATTCTTTGTCAAGGATGAATCCAGTGACAGCTGCCAAATGTAATTGGCAGGATGCACTTACTGCATGCCAAAAGGACTAAGTGTCCTGCTATGTTACATTGATATTGCTGGTGAAGGCATGGAACCCAGCTGGATCTGTGCCTCATATAAGTATGACCGAAAAGAGTAATTTTGCATGACAAACATATTCCTTGAATGTTACCCTCTATCCACTGGGACAGAAAACCATCTCTCCATTCTGGGCTATGATTATGATCTTTGGTTTTCTTCATGCAGCAGTTTATGCAATTACCATGTTCATGCCCCTCTCTCTTTAATAACTTTGGAGACTCCTTAATAACTTTGGAAGCCCCAGCCAATTTCAGCCATAGCTGGCAGGGAGGAAAAGATCTGAGAGATATTAATTTCCTCAAAGTTTGAATAAAATAGTTATATACAGAACCTTTCTAGAGAGTCCACTGAGACAAAAACTTGATCCTTTTTAGAGACCAGACTCTGAGCAAGAGGGAAATATAGTGAACATCCCAGCTGTAGGGAAAACTTCAGTCAGCCTTTGCCCTTCATAGCTGCCTAATAGATCAGTTGTATCACAAATGTGCAGGAATCCAGACTCTGTCAGCTGTGTTGTTCACCAAATTACATCTGCATTAACCATCCACCACAAGAAACTTGTAAGTCAGTCACAGGTGATAAGCATATGTATCTATTTTTTCTAAAAATCTCCACCCTTATTGGATGTATTTTCACACATTGGATCCCTCTTTGATAGTCCTTTTCTCCTTCTAACCACCTAAAAGACTTTGGTTGGTTTAATAACCTGGTGGTCAGCCACCTGGACTAATTTCACAGGTCTATGCTGCTTCCCTGGCCCAACAGTGTTATGTCAGGTAGTATTACAAATGAAGTGCATACAGAGAGACAGGTCGGTGAAACACTCAAGTAACCAAGCAAACCCAACAACAAAGACCACTGTTCATCCTTTCACCCCTAAACTCAAAGACTCATAACAAAGAAAATTGATTCTAGTGTGGGAACTAGGGGTGTTAGGAGGAAATCCTGAAAAAAACCAAGGAAGTTTAATGTTATATACAATTGCCAATATTTTCAAAACAGGTGCAGAATGTGGTACACAGTTGGAGTGGCCTTAGTCTGATCTACCTGGGTGGACCTGCACAGCCCTGCCCAGCAGTTTAACCTATGCTGACACAGACTCCAAGGCAAGCTTGCACTTCCTTGGCCGTGGATCTGAGTAAGGGGCTGTGTAAAGGCTTGGTCCCTCCTGGGGGATCTCCAGAGAAAGAGACAATTCATTGAGCTGTCCCACAGGAGCAGTCACTGTGTAGATATCTCCTGTGCTCACTGAGTTCACCTGCATCTTCTCTGAGCTTTCTGCTTAGATAATACCAGTGTTGGGGCTGTTCTTCTGTTTCTGTACCATTCAGAGGGCTTTTCTCAATGAGGGATTCATCAGCCCCCTTTAAAATAAGGTCAACGTACAGCAGCACTAAAGATTTTGTCTTCTAAGTGACTTGCACCCCTTGATAAGATAATGTACTGGAAACGTATGTCACTGTGATATTTCTGAATGGATAAATAATGTATGATTCTGGCAAATGAAAGTTTTGAACTCAAGAGGAATCATTGGCATTTTTTAAATAATTTAGGAAGTGCTCATAAAAGAGAAAAATGAGGAAAAGGCCTTTAATAAATGTCACATTTGGCATCATAACCTCTTTAGAATGACTGGTATTTTTTCTGAACTTCATGTGGATAAAAATTTATTTGAATGTGGAAGTATCTGCTTTCTTTGTAAAACTTGAAACCATTTCTTACAGGAGAAGAAATTCTCATTGAAGTTTAAATGGAAGATATT